TATAAATTTCACAATATTAATGATTTTTAATATTTATGAGCCTTTGGACTTCGAACTTTCAGAGATCGAGCTGAAGGCTCATAAAGTTCGAGCGTTGATGAATTTATCTTTAGAAAAAAAAATTAAATTATTGTAGCTTTGTACATTTTCGTAAAAAAAATATATTTTTTTGGTCTATTGGTATTAACGATCTGAATATATTTCTGAAATATAATGTGAATATATATTTTTTCTGTTGGTACTGACAATGTGAATATATTTCCGAAATATAATGTGAATAAATAGATTTAAAAAAAACTGGTTAGGCTCGAACTGCGACTCGACCTCGAAGAAACTCCACCCACATCTTCATATTTTTTCAAAGAAATTTTACTTTTTAAACGTTAAATGTATATTTTTAGATAATTTATTTATGTATTGTAGCTTGTAATTCTGGACTTAAAACCAAATACTTATGAAATATATTTTAAATTCGTTTATATTATTAAATAAAATACACTTTAACTAATTTTTATTAACGGTAGTTATAAAATCCGTATCAAACGTCAACAAACAGTCATTAAACAAGAACAAAAGATAATATTTTTAAAATATATATATAGTATTTAATTGATTTTAAAGTGATAATAAATAAGCTTGGATTTCTAGAATTTTGTAATATTTAGAGGAATTGGGGAATAAAGAACATCTATCCAGAACTATCGTAAATCAGCGGTTTATATTTAGTCTTATTTAAAATTTATTTATTTCTTAAATAACTCCAATGATCGGGTCTTTGATTTTCTAGGACGAAATGATATCAACCGAACATTCCGATTAACCGAAACCTTTGGTTTTCATTTTATCCTCACCCACCAGCGATTTTATTATACAATTACAATATATACATATAGATTAATATATATATATATATATATATATATATATATATATATATATATATATATATATATATATATATAATCTTCTTCTTCGTCTGCGTTCTTCCTTATATGACTTGGTCAGAAAATAAAATATAAAATCAAGAATTCGGTAGTCCTCCTCAGGTCCTCCAGGCTTCCATATAATTTCCTTTCCAATTCAAATGGAGAGGGATATATATATATATATATATATATATATATATATAGATATATATATATATATATTTTTTTTTTTTTTCCTTTTTTTTTTTTTCTTTTTTTTTTTTTCCTCTGCCGAAGTCATTGGTCATTCGACATCTTGCTACCCAGTATAAGTGTAATTATTTTATTATTTCCAAATATTTTAGTTCTTATATCCGTCAAAGTAGGACATGGTCTGCATCCATTTTCGCTTGGTCACATAATTTACACATTGGATCTTCCCTCAGTCACAACTATCTTGTGGAGATGGCTTGGTAGATAGTGGTGACCAGTGGCCAGGCGGAAGCAGGTACTGCATCTCTTCTTGGTAGGTCAGCTGGGATCGGGTTTTCCATCCAACATGCATAACGTCTTCCTTCCACCTAGTCTTTATGTATTTTTTTTTTTTTTTACATATTTTTTTAAATATTATTTATTCATGATATTTACAACTGTATTAATAAATAAAATACATCTAGTAAATTTGATACAGAAAATAATAACATGAAATCACTTGTTGAGAAACTACCCACTGGTAGCACTCTAAAAACAAAATGTATTTACAATAAGAGATCTCGAGGCCATCTTCTTTTCAGACGCCTCGGATTGTTATCAGGAATAGAAGAGGAAGCAAGGTTAGAGACGAGAGGATTCGGATGGTTCTGAAGTTTATTAAGGAAGGATTGGTCAAATCAGAAACATAAGGAACATTAAGGTCATTTTGGATTATTTTATTGGTGACAAAGTAAGGAGCATTGAAGATTTTCCGAAGGATTTTGGATTGTAAGGATTGGATACGAGAGGAATTCGATGGCTTAGTGGAGCCTCAAAGCTCATCTCCGTAAGTCCAAATAGGTCTTATTGTAGTCATGTATATGAGTCTTTAGTAATTAACTGGAAGCTTAGAGCGTTTGTCTAGTAAGTGTTGGAGTAGTCAGAAACATCGAGCGGTTTCTTGTCGTTTCAGTCTGGTATGAGGATCCCAAGTTAAACGTTTGTCCAAGTGAAGTCCAAGGTATCGGATTTGTTCAACAGGGATAAGTGGGGTATTATTAAAGGATACTGTGGGACATGAGGTCATAGGTTTACGTCAAAGGATAAAGGTTTTTTACATATAAATATATAAATGTATATTCTTGATACTTTTCCCTTGTTCTTCCCGATTATGGCTTTTTTTTGTTTTGATCCTCCATAATTTATAACTATTATATATATATATATATAATAGCTTTGCCCTTGTATATTTAATTAGTCAGAGTATTATTTATTAACAATGTAGTATGATTCCAGGAGGCAAAGGATGGTGAAATAAATTGTTGGTGTCATTTATTGATGTGATAATTTTATGTGCTTAGGCATTTAGGTAAGGTTCTTTACATGGCCTCCTCACATTGAGACATCGAAATAGGTTACTTAAACAGGTATGACTAGGCTTTATCATTGAATAGGTCAACTTAAACCCTAAGTCAATAAACTTACTTATTTAACTTGCAAATGAACTCACCTCACCTCTATATAATATTTATCGAATGGTTTATGAACTTATTGATTTATAATAAGCATTATAAATAGGCACTATAAGTAAATAGGTATTATAAGTAGGCACTATATTAAATTCTCATTATCAAAATTCATTCATAATGTGTTTGGTGAAAATCTATAAAATTTACGATCAGTCAAGATTCCAAAATCATTAAATTATCTATATTTAAGTGTATCTGTATTTTGCCTTTTCAATTATATTCAATTGTTCTTAAACATCAAATTTTCTTTAAATTTAAATAATAATGTATGTTTTATCGCTTACATTTGAAAAGTACTTCAAAAAACTAACTCGTTAGAAATTATTATTCTGATTTCCATAACATGAAATATTTGTAATTATAATGAAAATTTTCATCTCATTATATTTACGAGAGAAAGAAAAAATTCACGATAATTGTTATGGTCTTCATTTGATTGTTTTCATTATATTACAAGAGTACTTGTTTGTACATTATGATGCAGATAATCCTGTTAATATAACGTATTGAAAATTTAAAAACTTTAATGAATGCTACTAAAAATTCCAAATAAACATCAGAACAGGGTCGCAAAGCGCAAGTTGCACATTCAAATTTTGTTATGGAAATTTAAGTAATAATTAATTTTTGAGGAGGGCGTATTTTCACGGGGTTGTGAATATTGGAAGGAGCCTTATTTTATAAATAATTTATTTTATGACAGGACAGAAGAGAAAAATATATTAACTACATTTTTTATATTTCTACTTTAAATTACACTATTTTTGAGTTAAGAAGATCAATAAAAATTTGAGGATGAATTGCCCTTGGATAGATGATGGATACCCCTGATAATGATCATTGTAAAGATTCAATTAAAAAATACATAATAAATGAAGATATTTGGAATTGCTTTGTCAAAAAAATAACAACAAATAATTAAAACGTTTAATTTATAAGACCATTTTATTTATATTGCTGCTCTGAAAATCAAATTTGTTGTTTTTTGGAATTACCCATGGTTATACTTATAATTTACATTTATTATCTATTCATAATGGGTATACGATACGAAATTTCAAAGAACAAAAAGTTTTTTTTGTTTATTTTTTTTTTTTTTTGTTTTAGTAGCCAAAAATTATTTGGATCTAGCAAGTTTTTAGAAAACTTGGTGTGACCTCAGAGCGTTTCTGCACTCATGGAGGACTTTGACAAGGAGATTGTCTCCCGTGCCTACTTTTTAATTTGGCACTGGAATGTACAGGAGGTTCAATTTTTAATAGAACTGCAATGATCCTTGGGTACACTGATGACATAGACGTAATGGGACGAAACTATGAAGCCATGGAAGATTTATTCTTGGGGCTCGGTCAGGAAGCTGAAAGAATGGGTCTCGTTATTAATGAGACAAGAATAAAACACATGATCACCCCATGGAGAATCACACATACAGATTAAGTGATATTCCTTCAAGCGAGTGGAAGATTTTATTTATCTAGGACCACAAGGGAATTCCCAGAATTAAATAGCACAGGAAATTCAGCGTCGGATTGTTTCCGCAAAAATATGCTGTCGTAGATTAGCTGGGTATTTCAAAAGCAGAGTAGTATCCCGAGCCACCAAGATCCATCAAGACATTGGTAACAACAGTACTCTCTTATGCTGCGGAATGCTGGAACACTACCAGAAATCAAGAACAAACCTTGCTAAGATTTGAGAGACGGAACCTGAGAAGAATCATGGGTGCAAGACATACAAACGGAGTCTGGACACAGCGGACTACTGCTGAATTGGTACCATGTGGGGATGCTGATGTGGTGAATTTTATTAAAGTAAGTCTTCTCAAATTGGCTGGACACGTTGTAAGAATGTCTGAAGATGAGGTCTCAAAAAACATCCTCTTAGAACAAATCTTTGGCAAAGGTAGAAGAGGAATGCCAAGGTTGCGGTGGATTGATGCTGTGTCTGCAGCTGCACGATCCATGCTTTAGAACTGGAAGACAGCAGAGAGGAACAGATGACTGGAGATCCATGTTGCAAGAGGCCTTGTCTCCAGGCGGAACATAGCGCCGTATAGGAAGAAGAAGAAGAAGTTTTTAGAGAAATGATTAGTAAGAATTTATTATTAATTTATTTTTTAGGATTTGTTTTTTTAGGGTTTTTAATTTAAATTGATATCATCTGGAGTGAACCATGTTTTATCAACAGCTAAAAGAACAAATAACATATTTACATGAGATAATAAAGAAAAAAAATCAGGGAATAAAATGTCATCAAGTCATAATTAACGTGCTTTAGTACGTTCATAAAATAATCAACGCTTCATTAAATCCTCCGAAGTAGTTTTATCGACAATAATTGTATTGTAATCAATAATAAGAGATATTGTACTCACATATGTCCCTTCTTGACGGTCATATTGAGGCCATTCAATAGCGGGAGGTTGGATCCGAACCGCTTGTGGGCGGCGCGGATCTCTACCATGTTATTGGACTCCATTCAGTCGTCCATCCGTCTGCAAAGGAAACGACATTAATTAATTATATTTAAAAAACATTACAATTTATATGGTTTGAGGATATTCTCTATAAAAATGATTAGTTAGATCATTAGAAAAACAATCAGACAACAAGAGAGCGTGAATTCAAATATAATCATGAACTCATACAACTTATAAGACACAGCATAAATATCATATTCATCTTTGGGATGAAATAATTTCTTCCGTGAGTTGAATGTATTTAGAATAATCGCTAATCTGGATCATCTAAATTATATCATATCTTGACCAGTTATTTCTTTGTTTTAAAAAAAATCAACAGTTGTCTTTCGTTCATGGCCAAGGTATAGAATATGTCCAAACCTCAACAGAAACCTATCTTAACCTATATAGGTCTAAATCAAACAATATTAGGTGATATTTAACAATTAAGTCCCATTAATTGTTACGGCACACAGTGGTCGAAAAAATCATAAAAATGGAAAAAAAAAAAAAAAAATTGGGTAACTTTAAATTTAGGTAAGATACTGAAAAACTGAATGTTTTATAGTATGTTAAGTCTTCTGAATTAATTTAGTATAAAATCGTTTTGGTAAGAATAATCGTTATTATTATTTTTAATTCTTTTTTACCAATAAATAAAATATATTTTATCTGTAATAATTTGGAAACATAAAAAATATTGTATGAGTTTATTTACCATATCAATTATAAATATATATTACCTACATTACTATCAAGAGCACAAAGATAGACCCGAAAACAACAGTGATAAGAGGAGTAGAGCAAATCTACTTATAAGGACTCATTTCCTTGTAAGTAGATTTGCTCTACTCCCATAAAACAAAATAAATGAGAATAAAAAAACTGTGATAAGAGGAGTAGAACAAATCTACTTACAAGGAAATGAGGATAAAACAAAATAAATGGCAGTGAGCTAAAAGCAATAACCAAGTATCCATTTTGAGTCAGAAAAATTGTTCAAATTTCTCTGGAATTTATTTGATTCTACACTTTTCCACCGGTTTTCTTTTACGGAAAAAAATTAATTATATTATTTCTAAACTAATTTAGGTATAGGTAGGATTTTTAACTAGCTCGTTTTTCGTGCAGCTACCTTGATTGAATTTGCCAGATAATTACCAAAACTGCAAGTTACCGCAGCTGATTTTTGAACTCTTCAATAGTGCAGGGTTTAAAGAATATTTTGATTACAGTAAGGGCTGAGCGGTCGTTGGCACCGATTATTTATTCCATTGAAATACGAATTTCCAGTATCCGAATATAAAAATATGAAATTTTAGAATTATTAAGAAATAACTTATTTCAAAAAATTGCATAACAAAAATTTATTTTGTAATGTATAACATGTGTATGATGGAAACATGATTTTTATTTATACTTTATTGAAAATATCGAAAACCAGTATTTTTAGTCGTGCCTAATCTTTTGGAATATGTAACTTAATTATATCCCACATTAAACTACAAACATTTGAATTTTCATAACACTTTGAAAATATAGATTTTTGACTCTCTCAGACTTCTGTGCGGCGTTGGACTATTTTTAACAATAATAATTAAAAATCATAGTGAAACCGTCGATTTAATGATTATATCACAATAGTATTCTCCTACGTACCTTTCCGCACTAAATTCCTTTGAAACCAAAATCCTTTGGTCGGACCTAACACAATTCCACCTAAATTCCTGTAGAGCACTGATTATTCCTTAAGTGATTCAACCTGATAGTACTGTACACTCATTTCGTTCTTCGCAATACAATTTTACTTACCATATGAAGCTCACGTGATTCAGCGTTGCGTAGACATCTATAATTACCCGATTGACTAATCTGACGTCGGTCCAAAAATTCTGTTCTATATTTTATTTTCAAGACGTTATTTCCTTCAGGTCGTGTACCCCATCCGTAAAGAATGGTAGGCATATGCGAAGCGTATACTGGCATTTATGTATGAGCAATTATCTGTATTTGAATTGCCTGCGTCAAGAGCCAAACTAACCAGGCGTTTAGCCATCAAACATGCCATAAAATAACCATAATCATTAAAAAGTAAATAAAAACATCCTTGGAATATTAATATCTAGCTCCCATTGTCAGGCTTACTTCCCGGTCCGTTATTATCATAGACACTAGGTTATCTAATCGCTCAATGAAGTGTCGCTCCCAAAATTGGTAATACCGCGACTTCGCTTGCATTTTGAACAGTATCGGGGCTGGTAAGTTCCCTTCCAGCTTTCTACTTGATCACGCTTCAAGTGGTTCTCGATTAAACAACTAAAGAGCTGGTTCCGCTATTAACAATCACGTAAATTCTCTTTTCGGCTTAATTGAGTTGAATCCTCAGGTGGATTAGGGGCAATGAAGCGCTGCGTGGCCAGTTTACTTTTTTTTTTTCTTATTGAGTAGTCCGCTTACAGCATAATTCAACTTAAATATTATTATATACTCCTTATTTTGACTGTTCTTGAAACATATGACTATAGATTGTCACATAGCAAGGAAACTATAGGTGTGGAAGATATGATACATAGTGTTAAACTTAGGAAGAAAGACTGAGAAATAAGTGCTCCTAAAAATGGTAATACAATTAACGATATTTTGGAAATATGTCCTTGTAACTACTTATTTCTAAAACTACTATAGGTATATATGCTGTGACACATTAGTGTGCGCCCACATTTTTGTAATAGTTTATTAACAATATCGGATAAACAGCACTTTTAGTCATTCAAACAAGTTCCGATATTCATGATTATATACTGTGCTTAATATCAGAAATCTGAATGATATTCAGAGACTGATGTTAGACTATACATCTACTATGGAGGTGCTGTTAATACTTTTAGTCCTAAGATTATTGTAAATATTTGATCTGTAATTTATTTCAACTGAATAACTCCATGACAAGACACATGCAGAAGCTTGGAGTATTGCAGATCTAACAACTAGAGTGAATTATTAAGAATAAAATATTTTTGGTTTACTGCAGGCCTGTTGGTGGTAGTTCTAGTAGTAGTAGTGATCTATCACAATCACTTTGGCTACAGTCTAAAATTTTTAAAATTATTTAATTTAAAATTGCCGCTGTCTAAAAGGAAACAGATGTAGCATTATGTGGTAATTAAAGGGAAAATGTTGTGAATTTTATTTATGCTAATGAATAAACTGAAAAACTTGAGTTCTGAAACGATTCAGGAAATGTCGGATCTGACTTTCTTTGAAACATGCTTGTCTTACTAGGGCAATATAGTAATTGCTAATCTTACAATACATTCCTAAGTATATGAATTAATATAAGTTAACTGACGGTATCAGGAAAAGATACTTAAAGATTTAAGAAAGCTCTTTTCGCCTCGAATAATGAAATACTCCAGTTAATAATGTAGGTATTGTTATCGTTATAGTAATTTATAAGCTTTAGGCATATATATATATATATATATATATCAGGCAGTGGATCAGCTGATGCGAAGGACGTGTTCTGAAATCTTCTCTCAGTTGTTGCCTATTTTTTCAGCGGAATCTCTTTGATTATTTACTGAATATTGTTGAACTGTACACCAGAGCAGTTGTTATTTACAGTTTGCTACATATTTTTTTTTAATATATTTTTTTTTTTTTTTTTTTTTTTAATTTTTTTTTTCTTCTCTTATGATATGCGGCACTGTCAGCCAGTGATGTCCAGTAAGGTGCCCACTAAGAGGACTCGGTCAGACGGAGTTAGTACCCCTCGTGATTCACCAGTGAAACAAAGAACTCGTCGCTGCCTGCGAGAAATAGCTCCAATAACCACAGTGAAAACTTCAGATACAGAACCTCAGCCTCAACCAGGTACTTCTTCGCAAGAAATGGTTGAAGAATCTCCTTTCTTCACTCCAAACCCGTTCCAAGTGCTTCATAATGACAGAGAAGTAATGGAGTCAGCAGCAGTACCCAGGGAACCAAGGCCTCCTCCGATATTTGTTAAAAACATCAAAAATTTTCAACTACTGTGTACACAGCTAAACGAAATCTGCTCCGGCAGTTATTCTTGCCTCAACAGGACTAACGACACAAAAATAACACCTGATACTGCAGAAGCGTACCGAAAAATTGTGAAGTACCTGTCAGAAACTAATGCAAATTTCCACACGTACCAGCTGAAACAGGAGAGATCGCTACGAGTGGTGGTTAGAAATTTACACTCCTCAACCCCAACTGAAGTGATAAAAGAAGAACTAGCGACGCTTGGTTTCAAAGTGCGTCAGGTAACCAACGTTCTGAAGGAGAATAAGGAGCAGCCAGGAGTGAGTAATAAAGTTCCACTACCTTTATTTTTCGTGGATCTAGAGCCATCACCTGGCATTGAAAAAATATATGATATCAAGAGATTGTACTACACTATCGTGAAGATAGAGAAGCCATACCCCAAGAAGGAAATTGTGCAGTGCCACAATTGCCAGGCGTATGGCCACACGAAAACTTATTGTCACCATCTGCCGCGTTGCGTGAAATGCGGTGAACAGCACAAATCTGTGGAGTGCACCAAACCAACACAAGATCCTGCAGTGTGTGCACTATGCCAGGAGGGACACCCGGCCAACTACAAAGGCTGCCAAACCTATAAGAGCCTCAAATCCAGATACCAGAAGAACCGGATTCAAGATGAGACAACCAGACCAAGAAGAGAACCTTCTAGAATTGTTAACAATAATTTATCATACTCCGAACTACTTGGAGGTAAGAACCCCAATAATACATGTGAAGCCCTGCCGCAGCAACTACCTCAGCCCCAATCTCAATATTCTGTTCATCCTAACACACATAATCATCAACAACCTCAAATTCCTCATATTCCTCCTCCTTCAAATGCAACAGATCTCACTAGTTTGTTAGCATCTTTCCTAACCGATTTCAAATCCCTAGTCACTCCACTCATATCACTCCTTACAAATCTCGTATCTCACCTCATCCCTCCTTTGAAAAATCCTTAATGACCCACATACCAAAAC